AAATACAGTAACAAAAAAATTACAACCTGAAAGCACTATGTACCCATAACGGGTGGAGACGTTGGCAGACATAGCGTCTCATGGAATTGATTATCGATCAAAAGGGCTCCTTGTTTCATGCAGGAAAACAGAAAATTCATAACATTACGTGTGATAAAAACAAAACATCTACTACCGCAGATACACAATAGATGAAGAAAGGGTCACCATTTCTTCTGTCCGACTTATATTGGATCATCTTGTATGCATGAAAAAACACAGTTAAAAAATAGAGGATGCGAGGAAGCGGGAGTGTGTGTGTGTGCTGTGTTCAGCGTGAGTGAATGAGTGTGTGTTCTCTGAGTTTTGTGTGTTTGTGTCAGTGGCTGAGAGGATGAAGAGAGGATATACGTACAAGAGATGCGAGTATGAGATCTCCTTATATATATATATATATATGAAGAGATGACAGTCTTACAGTTGTAAAAAAATGAAAGTTCAATTAGAATCGTCAGATCAATAATTTTTAAATAATATGAGCCGCAAAAAGTTCAAGACAAAGAATGTTATCTCCTTATAATATAGATAGATTGCATGTACCAAATGCAACATTGGAGACCAAACTAATATCAATTGCTAAATACCCACAAGTTCTTGCAACTTACCAAAAAAGAAAAAAACAGCATGGTGCCTATGCAAATGTTGGTTTCCAGACGTAAAAATTTTATGCATCCCGTTGTCATCGTGGATTTAAATTTGGGAATCAATTTTCTCAAAAAAAGATAAGATACTCTGTTACTTTTCTCGTATAAAAATTTTATGCATCCCATTGTCATCGTGGAATTAAATTTGGGAATCAATTTTCTCAAAAAAAGATAAGATACTCTGTCACTTATCTTGTATACATCCCGCAATGACAAAAAATCTTTGGGCACTTGGAACAAAATTTTGAACAGAGAAACGAATTTTCGGTTTTTTTTTTATTGAAAATTTGTAAACATGTCAATTAATTATTAGCGTAGAAGTTTTCCAGTATCTAGAACTAGTGGTGCGTGACTGCAATCTGATTAACGAAAACAACAAAATATTTTATTGAAACTTAATTCTGCAATGGACAATACAATCTATTAATGAGGCCCCACAACCAAAAAAAGACAAATTAAAATATCAAAGGAATAATGATTTGTTATATCAGTTGGAAAGGCACTTCCAACCAAAGAAGATGATAGCATAATGATTAGTATAAGTTGATGAAGGTGTTGATATACTTGTAGCATCATTTATTTGTAAGAATGGCATCATAAATGGGCATAGACTTTGGCATTACCATGAATTGTTATTTGGTGCACCTGTTGTTCAAGAGTATGTAGAGGACAAGTTAGCTATGGACATTTGTTTGAATTATGGAAACACCTCAGTTGTATAATTCCTTTAGGTTGTAAGTTTGACTCCCAAGTGATCCGATACATGTGTCTCGGAGATAATTGCATGCATGTAGAATACAGTTGACAATCAATCGTGCTGAACCGTACGTGTTTGGATCATTTTATTTTGAATTTGTGTAAGTATTAGTTAATCATAATTCAACTTATCTAATTAATCGTGTTAGATGTCATAATGTTAATCTGGCCTATTTATAATATTGGTTCGGTTGACCTGTATAAGCCTGAATAAGACATGCACGACTAAAACAACAATTTCTTCCACTTTTTTTGCAACTGTAGCCTTCTCTGGTGCCACTACGCATTGTGGATACACGGATGTACCAAATCATGATCTGATCATCCACGTCTCGGGATATTATTGGTGAAAAGTCTTTCGCGCCTCACGGGCTTCCTACACCTTATGTTACTCTCACCTTCGTATACTTGCCTGAATGCACTACCATCGCCTCTTCGGTGGTCTAGTGAGACAAATTAATTAGGTTCAATAATATGACATGGACCTAATTATATTAGGACCCAACGTTTAATCCAAAGAAAAAATACATTAGACACATTTATCTAGATTGGAATGCTGTTTCTCACTTGCTCTATATAATGGTTGCCTGTTGTAACTAGAGAGTGAGCATCTCATCTTTGTGTGTGTATGTGTGTGTGTGTGAGAGAGAGAGAGAGAATTGACCGCAGTCAAGCATAGCCTTGGGTTTGTTGACCAAGGTCAGGTGGACTGGTTTTGGTAGAATTCATGTAAGTGGCGCTGGAGCAAACTTGTACGTCCAGTTTTGAGTTGTCTAGAACCTAGCACTCACTTCTCGCTCACTTGGCGTTTGAGCAATGACAAGCGTGCCCAAACAAAGGTGAGGGCATCTGAGCAACAAACGCAATTAAGAAATCCGAACTTTGTTAATTTGAGTAGAATTCCTTACAAACTACGTTTAGGTTTGTCCTACTACATGTCTATACTATACATAAAAACGTTTGGGGGAGACCTAAGAAAGAGAAAAACACCTGAGGCACAACTCAAATCTTGTTTTTATAATCAAAGGTGCTCTTGGCAGTTTTTGACTACTGAATTGGACGCACTGCTCTTCAATCAAAGTCCTTTTCAAGGGTATAGTGTTAATACCTACCTAGTCATTCCTTAAGTTTCAAAGAAAATAGCTAGTTTTGCTATATATCAAACTTATTCAAACACCACTCTTATCTAATACCACCTCTTGTTTGTTTTTATGTAAGTGAATTAAGTGGGATTTACCAAAAAAGTTAATGTCAGGTCACATATTCTATGCAAAAAGACAATTTAAACCTTATAGTAATTCATGGGATTGTGGATAAAAGGGTATTATGGTAATAGTGTGATTCTCTTTCTCAACTGGTATTATACAACATATGATCGAACAAGATTTACTCACACAACTCTCAACATCGCATTACCTAATCCTAGAAATTAATCCATGACATTTAAAAAAAAAACCTAAGAATAAAGAGCAAGTGTTGAATGCTCATGGATAGATCTCAACCAACAAAAAAATAACTTCAAAAATTGTACTTGCAACAAATATGTCATTCTTCCCCTCACTATGAAGTATGATAAAACAAAAGCCAACAATATAGATTCAAAAATTCTAGTTTGCATAAGGCCACATCTAAAGAGAAAGCCAAACTCAAAGAAAAAAAGTAAAATTATTGGCGAGAAAACACAAAACATATGAAAAGAGCATTTTTCATGAGCTTGTTAGAAGACGATTGACATTTTCTAGCGCGACTTTTGCCACTTGAATGGTCCGAGATTCAGACGAGACTGAGGAGTTTGAAAGGATTGAGCGGACTTACTTGGAAGCGGAGTGAAAGAGACAAACAAGAGAAAAAAATTCCTTTTAAATGATGGCTTAAAAAGGCACAGTAGATTGTGTATTGGGTTTTCAATTTTTTTTTGAAACTGTGTCTCAAAATTGTGAAAACATGCTATTAATATTCTTTAAATTTCTGATTTTTTGTTCCCAATTTTTAAAAAATTGGATACAAAACTCTAATGTCCAACTAACTTCTTTTCTTTCTCTCTTTGTTGTTTTATATCCAAAAATAAAAATGCAAGCCAAGAAACCCTATGTATTGTCGTTTATGTCACTTTCATGTATGACTGGTCAAGGTCAAAATTGGGTGCCGGCAAGCTGGATTTTTATTGTTGTTCTATGTGGTTTCCTAGTTTGCTTCCGCTGCTAGGTTAGTGAACTTGTTATGCAGCTTCTTGCCACACCGTACACCTTTCCTCGGACCCACGTAGACTGCCAAAACAACCATCTCATCCGATGATCCCAACCATCCACTCCGCATTACACTCAGTTTGAATCCATACCAATCCATGGAATTACTATTTTTCACTAACGATCAAAGTCATTTATACAAATTGTTACGTGTCGTGTGCGTAATGCGATAACGCATTCCTGATTTAGGTGTGCCTTAATCACACTGAATGCTTAAGGTTGTTAAGCTATTGACCTGCCGTCTAAACACTTCATTCTAGATTGCACCCTCCTCGAAGTAAAAGAATAAAAACGGTCAAACATTGTCTACCGGTTGAAAAACATAGAGCAGAGAATACGTGCGTGTAAATGTTCGTCTATTTTATATGCAAAATTACATTTTGTACCCCTTTAACTATGCCTTATGTCTTATATCAATCTCTGATTGTCACTATATTGTACTTTCAATTATGTCTTTTAATTTTACAGTGGACCAATTGCAGATGTCTTTTAGAGTATCTTCAAATTTTTACTCAAATTTGAATTAATATTTGAGTAAAAAAATTGATTTGATACAAAAGTCTTTACTGGACAAACTTAAATTTAAAGAAAAAAAAATTCAAAATTTAAAAGATAGAAACATTTGAATGATGGTGAAATATGACAATTAGATTTTAATGAAATCTAACTATTGATGATTTAGGTAAAAATTTGAGTTTCTTTTAATTTAAGTAAAATTTAAATTTTTCGTAATTTGGTATGAATTTAGATATATAATTGGAGACGATTTTTAGGCTATTTCACTTAAATAGTAAAAATAGAATNGTAATTTGGTATGAATTTAGATATATAATTGGAGACGATTTTTAGGCTATTTCACTTAAATAGTAAAAATAGAATGGATTTAGGTCTAAAAATAGTAAGGATTGGAGATGCATACATTTTATCACTTGCATTATATGCAAATTTATTTTACTTGGTTAAAAAAATATAAAAAACACAAGTATATTGTATCGAAGAAATATCTAACGTTTATTTCTGGATGATTGAAGAAAATTCAAGTATTTATGGGGAACTATTGGAAATCTTAAATAGTAAAGGAGGTAAAATGGAAATCGATCTAATTTGGGGGTTACAAAGTATCATTTGCCCTATTTCGTATGTATAGTTTTTTTTTTTT